ATATCTGTGATCAAGTAGAAAGTTTCTACATTATGCAATCACGATAATACAATACGTGCAAAACTTACACCTCTCAAAGTACACAAAAAGAAACATAGATTCACAATTAACAATTGCAAACACGCATTTACAATTCAGAATCCACAGAAGCAAAGCGCGGAGGGAGGAAGGGATCATCCAAAATATCAATGGCACACATTTGGAATAGGTTCAGGGCTTCAGAATAAATAAATAAATAAAGACACACACTGACCCAGATACAATCATACAAGTAAGGGGAAAGCAACCCTCAAACAGCCAAATCTGTCCAACTTTGAAAGGAAATGAGGGATGGCAAAAAGCAATGTTTGATACTTTAACGCTGTCCTCAATCCAACTACTCAAGAAGGTTACATAAGGTGAATTATATTTTGTTCTTCATCCCTTTCCATCAAATTTCACCCCCTTATCTTCCCTAAGTTTCTATCCTGTACATCCATCCCAACAAACAAATTGTGAAAGATTAACTTTATCAAAAGAAACTGTTTACTTCTCCAACAGTGGAAAAAAGAGTTTCAAATATCACTGAATCAAGATGAAGGGTACACTGCATATACAGGAACACTCACATTACTAGAACTTCCTCCACTAAAGCCACGAAACAACAAAGACCACTTCTTAAGTTTGGAAAGGAGGGACCAACACAGATTCCAGAAAACATTTCTACAGAAGCATAAGACATTTGTGGAACATATACAAATAAAAAACCAGTACAAATACTAAAGTTGGATAAACAGAATTTACACAATGAAGAACTGGACCCAATCTAGTGGGGTCAAATGTTTTTCATTAGTATTAGTGGTCGACTATACAGAGACTCAATAATGCTTTGCATCGCCATGTTCAGGAATAATCTTATAAATTCCTTCATCTTGCCACTAAACTTCTGAACTGGTAAACTCACATAGGGCTGTTATGTTATGTGTCAAAAAGAGATCACAATTAGTTAACCAAATAGATTAGAATTTCAAAAGCTTATATGATTATTCAATCAGAAGTGAATAGCCAAATGACAATGAGTAATGATTCAGTTCAAAATCCATCAATGGCACTATCTAGAAAAAGGGAACAATTATCCACCAAACCTCCCTCCAACAGCCAGATATATATATATATATATATATATATATATATATATATATATATATATATATAGAGAGAGAGAGAGAGAGAGAGAGAGAGAGAGAGAGAGAGGGTTAGTGTCCCAGACCTCATAACCACATTTGCATGGCTTCAATTGCTGATCTGTCAAATCCATCTCCTCCGCACAAAGAGGGCAAGTCTTTTCTCCCTGGTCACTCATGATTACCTTAAAAATATTTCAAAACAGTGTTAGTAGAAAAACAAATGGACAAGACTCAATGCAACCATATCACAGCGACATATCTTAGTAGGCATGCCAAATAAAAAGCAAAAGAGACATCAGAAATCGCACATAAATTCAAGGGTGGTGCTACTCACACAACCCTCTCAATTTTTGGCCATTGGATCGAATTCATTCAAGTGAATTGAAGAAGATCAATGAACAAAAATTAATAAGGGTGTGTGGGAGGTAAAAGGGGGTGTGTGAATAGCACTACTCTAAATTCAAATGTTTAAATGCAAGAAAAAATTAAGCAGAAGGTATGTTATAAATATGACAATTAGGAACCTAACAGAGAAGGACTCGACACAAACACAATTCAAAAATTTCCTGTAATTACTTTTCCAACCATGAAAAATGAAGCAAACGTTGAATGTACCAGCTCAAAGTCAACCTATTCACATTATTTTACCACAAGAGTTTGCATCGTTGTAGAAGAATCACTCACTCATTCATTTATATGTATTCACATTGCGGAAACAGCCATATACAAGTAGCAATTACTTTAAAAAAATTCAGAAAACTGGCAAAACCCTAGAAAAATCCCGATCGCAGTAAACCAGACTAGCATAATTGAGCTCGCAACAGTCTGCAAAATCCCCAAACTGAAACCCTACAACCCGATTAATTAATCTAGCGCCATTTTTACATTAACAAACTCAAAATTCAATTCTGTCCCCACAACTCAAATCAGATCAGAATCCACAGCAAAGCAGATCAAAATCCAGTACTAATTACAACAAAACAAACGCAAAATTTGAAAAACATTAATACAAAACACACAATAATCATCAAATTAAAGCAAAATACACAATTAAAAACCTAATCGGAATGGTTGACATGCAACAGAAGGAACGATGCAAATGGACATCAATCAGACAGCTATAGCCACCGACGAATCAACCAAACAAACTAATTTCAATAGAAAAATCGAAATTTAATCCATTTTTACATAAAATGGTAAAAATAATTAGGGATCTGGGAGATTGAACGGAATGATGATGGGAGAAAGGAGATTAGGGTTACAGAAGAGACAGAAAGAGCGAGCAGAGAGAGGAGACTTACAGTTGGGGATCGAGAAGAAGAGGACGAATCTGTAAGGATGAGATTGTGGTGTGAGGATCGCAACGCAGGAAGAGAGGGAGGGAGAGAGAAACAGAGGAGATGGAGAGAGAGAGAGAGAGAAGGACTTGTGAGAGAAGGGCTTGTTTGGATGATGGGCTATTTGGCAGCTATGCGCGTCGCTGTCAATTAAATATTATCGAGTTCCGAAAAACGCCCTCGGCTTTTGATTTAACTACCGACATTGACCTTTCCTTTGTTGCCTGGCCAACGTTGGCTTTTTGTTTTCCTCTTTACTTTTCCGGTTTTGTCGAACTTTGGGTTGGGAACCTCCCTTCTTCTGTTCGTCTTTTTGTTTTATTATTATCTTTATAAAATGATATTATCTATATTAAGAGATGGATAGTGAGCTAAACTTCAAAAAGAATTAGTAAAAATGTGATTTAAATTATCGAAGATCAAACATAAGACCTTGCATTACAAGTGGAGAGAAAAACCAGTACTAAGTGGATGTTCATCTTTTTATTTTTATTTTCAGTTTTTGTTTTTTAATTAGGTGGTGTGTTGGATTTTTGGCGTGTATGTATTTGGTATTTATCCACCCAATAAGATCCCACTTATTTTGTTTACATTTCTAGTTTTTTTGGTACGTTACAAAAGGAAAATATGACATTTGGAATTCTTTCTTTTCTAACAAAAATTCAGTGAATTGAATCATCACACAGTGTAGAAAATGTTATTTTGAGATCTTCACTTATAGATGCATAAGTCATTTGTAAGTTACATATTACATGTACAAAGTAAACTTGACATGCTTTGTATTGACGGGATTTTGAACACAAGATGTGGCGGTTAAGTCTTCAACTTCATCACTTAGTTTGGTAGAACCGTAGAGGCCTCTTCATATATGTTCAATAAATTATTACTCATTCTAACTCATTTTAAACACTATGTCCTCTAAAAGTTGAAATAGTGGACTGACCATATCTTTAGTGATACAAAAACACAATTAGCAGTAGTTTTATTTTGAAGGGAGAATCGATCTAAATCTAATCATAGGAGTTGTTATTAGCACTCTACCGTAGATAATGTATAATATTGTCAATGTCTGTAATTTCAGTTCGTTTTTAAAATCCTTGGCTTAAGTAAAGACAATGACTTTGATGAGGTATGAAAATCTATCAACAATTTAGTGGCAAGGATTAATCCTCACTTTTAAGAGTGATTAGCTCCTTGATCTTTCAGTATAATTGAAGTTTCAACATGTTATAACATTTTCACAAAATATTTGTAGAAATCTCATGATTAGGAATGCAAATTCGGCCGAAATGGTGTGATCCAAAACTAAAATTTCATGTATGGTAACCAAATTTCACCGGCCCAAAGAGGACGCTAAGGCCATCTCCAACCGAAGGCTAGCCAGATGGCTCGTTTTAGCCCTCTGGCCTTCCAAGAAATTAATATTTTAATGAACAGTGCATGGCCATATGTCTTAGATCATCTCCAACCGAATGGTCCAGAGGGCCGAAAATGGCCAGAAAACCATCTCCAACCGAGAGTCAGGCCAAAGGGCTTATGGACCCCACTAGACAAAAAAGGGCCAACCGGCCGACCCAAATGAACTAGCCAGCCGACCCCGGGGAGGGTTATGATTCAAAAAACCAACGGCTAGCTGTTGACGTCAGCATAGTTGTTATTTTATTTATTTTTAAAAAAAAAATTCCTATAACTTCCTAAGTCATTATACAACATTAAATAACATTAACCAACATAAAAAAACATTTAACAACATGAAACTTAAACAATATTTTTAAAAACATTTAACAACATAAAACTTAAACGCCTACTTCATGCTTCTTTTAGCCCAAAGATGTGTAACAAGATCCTGTTGTAGGTACTTATTTGTGGCATGGGAACGTATCATTCTATAGCACCTCATGTACTTATTTATAGAAATACTACTAGTTTTTGGATTGAAAGGCAAATTAGGCCCATCATATATTTTTGCACGAGCCCTTCTTGACTTATTTGGATCCTTTTGGTCGTCATCAAACTCTCCATCAATATATCCATCTCGCTCATCCTCCACAATCATGTTGTGTAATATGATGCAAGACATCATGATGAAGTCCAAATTTTCTCGACTCCACCCTCTTGCCAGTTCCTTAATGATCTTCCACCGTGCTTGTATAACTCCAAAAGCTCTTTCAACATCTTTCCGGTATACTTCTTGGTGTAAGGTAAAACACTTTTCGGCGTCATTGTTAGGGTTTGGAATTGCTTGGACAAGTGTCGCCCACTTTGGGTAGATGTCATCTGCCAAGTAATACCCCATATTGTACTGATGGCCGTTGATGTAGTAGTCAAGTTGAGGTGATTTACCTTCCATCAGGTTATTAAAGAGGGGTGAAAGTCCAAGAATTGTAATGTCATTTTGGGATCTAGGGACTCCAAATAAAGCATGTCAGATCCATGTGTCATACGAGGTAACCGCCTCTAACACAATAGTTGGCTTTCTCAACCTTCCGCTAAAGCCTCATTGCCATCCGGTGGGACAATTCTTCCGATTCCAATGCATGCAGTCTAATGACCCTATCATGCCCGGAAACCCATAATCTTCAGCTTTGCGATTAAGCCTATCCAGATCTTCTTGATTTGGCTCACGGAGGTACTCCTCGTTGTAAAGCTGAACAATTGTGTTACATAATTCAGAAAGAGTATCAAGACATGTAAACTCAGACATACCATGGGTTTCATCCATCGAATCAGCTGGGGAGGCATAGGTCATCATTCATAGTGCAACAGTAACCTTCTGATGAGGTGAGAAACCAGGACGACTTGCTTTGTCCAGCTTCTGTTGAAAGTATGGATTGACCTGATGTATATCATGAAGTAAACGCTTGAAGACATGATGCCTCATCCGGAAGAGGAAGAGATGTCTAAAATCATCTTCTATGTACATCGAGTTGGGGTTGAAGTAGTTGTTCATCAGATTGGCTTACGTCATCACTCTGTTTCGTGGTTTGTAAGAGCGACCAGTAATAGAGCCACCATATTGAGTCCTCAGTTGGCTGACACATCAAAATTCAAATCCAACAGCTAGCTGACGTCAAGCTAACATCAACTAGCCATTGCATTTGAATTTGATTTTTTTTTGGCCAAAATTTGTAAAAAAATATTAAAAAATTCTCATTTTTTTCCTATAAATTTAAGTTGGTGTAGTTTTTAAATTTAATTTGTAGTATTTAAATTTAAGTTGTAGTTTTTAAACATAACTTGTAGTTTTTAAATTTAAGTTGTTTTAGTTTTTAAATTTAAGTTGTTGTAGTTTTCAAATTTAAATAATAAATTATGTTTGGCCCTCGGTTGAAAACAGTTTTTTGTGACAGGGCTAAAGCGAGCCTTATGGCCCTTTGGCCCTCGGTTGGAGATGGTAAGAATGAGGGCCAGAGGGTTCGTTTTAGCCCTTTGGCCCTCCAAGAAATTAATATTTTAATGAACAATGCAATGCCATATTTCTTACCATCTTCAACCAAGGGCCATAGGGTCAAATATAATTTATTATTTAAATTTAAAAACTACAACAACTTAAATTTAAAAACTACAACAAATTAAATTTAATATTTATAATCATCATGATCTTCATCATCTGCCATTGTAGGAGTATAGTCGGAGGTAAACAACTGCCGACGGGTCATAATTTATTTTTTTTTTCCCTATCAAAATAGGCCTTACTCATTGGACTGTATTCGAAGTGTTCTTTTTCATATTCTTATCATCCATCTCTTATTGTATTTGTTTGGCTTGTTCTTCATGTCTACGGTTCTTTTTTTCCGCGACAAATGCAATTTGCTCCGCCATTAATCGCAATGAGGCCACCACTTCCTATTGAGCAGCGTAATCATCATTTAACTTGCCCTTTCATTCAACATTCGGGTCTTGTTTCGTTCCATAGCCCTAGGTATGGAACCTTCACCCGAAGACAGATTTTCTACCCTTATTTGTTGAATGGTAGGAGATCCATCATCATCCATATCTACATTTGAGGATCCAGTTCCAAACACCGGCATAGGACCTACTCTATGTTGAGGTGGATCTTCAAATAACACCCACCCTTTACAAATTTCCCACCAACTGTGATGCTGAAAAGGGTTTCGAGCTGCCTTCCATATACAATTCCTCCGCTTGGCGTATCTAGAAAATATAATTGCAAAAATTAAAGGAAATTCATTTATGAAATTAAATGTAATATAATTAAATGTAAGTACAAAAATTAAAGGAAATTAATTTATGAAATTAAATGTAATATAATTAAATATTTAAAATAAATTGTGAAAACACTTACTTCGTCTTAGTAATTGGCGCTGATTTCATGTCTACTTGCAGCTGCTAATAGTGCTTGATGTCATTTGTTCAAACTTGCCTAAAGAGTTTTTCTTCCATCTTGAAGAACAACTCTCGTGGTTTCGAGTATTCGGTGGAGTAGTGCCTTCGTAGAACTCTAAGTATTTTTTGGACACACGAGTCCAATTCACTTGTTTGAGAAGTCTCCCTTATTCTATCTTCCGAGACCCATCTATAAGACTTGCAAAGAGCTTCATCTTTGTTTCGGGTTCAAGCCCTACCTTTCATTAAAGATGAGGCCATTTGAAAATTATTGAAAAAATTGAAGGAAAAATTATTGGAAGAGGTAAGAAAATATGAGAATTGAAATGGTGTAGGAATGTTGAAAATTTCGTGAAAATTTGTGTATGAATGGCTTAGGTATTTATAGGAAAAAGTGAGAATTTTTTAGAATTAAAAAAAAAATATTGGCCCAAAAAAAAATTCAAAAACCAACGGTAACTGACGTCAGTTAGTCGTTGGGGATTCAAAATTGAGCCCAGCCCGAGGCTGGCTGGGCGGCTTATTTAGGCCGGTCGATTAGCCCTTTGGCCCTTTTTGTCCAGTGGTCAAAAATAGAATTCAGGGCAGTGCGCAGAAAACCACCTTGGAACTAATGTTGTAAATATGCCAGGCATGGAAAATACCTCATAATTTCTTTTTACTGATGGGCCATTTTGACACACCTAAAGTGGGTGCTGACTTGCAAAATATATGTAGCATAAAGATCCTTTCTTTTTGGCTTTTGATACACCCACGCCACATGTCCTGCCTTCACCAAACTTGAGCAATCTAATCCACAAGCATTGACAACTCCGCGAGATTAAACACAAAGGATACCCCATCTTAACAGTTGTTCATGCAACATGTTGCCCCTTTTATTTTCTTAAGCATTGGCTCATAAAGCCGAATGGTTAAGAAAATAATTTATTCATTATATATATATATATATATATATATATATATATTTTAGCAAACGAAAGTAAAAGTGGCCGAACCATAATCAGGAGGAGGCCATCAATGCTTTATTCCGAGCCGAAATCTTTTTGTATCAAAATTCTCAATTTGATTTCGCTTTAGGCCGAATAAATAATCACTTCCAAAAACTTTTGACTTGGCGAAATATTTTTTATTTTCAGTCGCCGAATGCGTTGAACAATTATTTAGCCCCCCGGGCATAAAAATGTCACCAATTTCGGCTTTTAACTCGAATAACTTAGCCGAATGAGATTTCTCCATATAGGCCTTATTGCCAATAACCATATCGACTGTCATGGTTTCGGCGTCTAAAACCATGTCTTGGCCCTGTTCGTCATTGGAGCACTCTCCTGACGAATCATTTTCTGAGTCGATTTTTAGCTCAGAAACTTGAACTTTTTCTTCTAGGCCAACCGAACTTTCAGTCTCAACCGAAAAAAATAGGCGGCATAGGTTTTTCTTCAGCCGTCTTGACAATTTTCCTAGGCCAAATTTTGATTGTGGCTGGAGCGGAAAATTGCTCCCATATTCTAGAAAACTTCTCAAGAAGTTTTGCTTTCTTCTTGTAGCAATTCTTTACTTGGCACCAAATCTCATCCAATGGAATCTGATTGAAATCTTGATTTATCATGTGAACTTTGTAGTTTTAGCATTGGGTGCCACTAAGTGTGCCAGAATATTGATCCTAAAAACTACCAAGTCTACGTGGCTCGTAGGTCGAGTAATTAATAAACTAATTACGTCATTCGGTTGTGTGCGGGGCGTGCCAACTCGACGGCTAAGCTCAACCGGTGAGTAAAATTTGTTGATGTTGTGTTGGGCGCGCTGCTGACTTCTGAATCTTGCGACTGTGGCCGAGGAAGGAACATGCCTCGACCTTCAAGTTTTAGAGCCTGAAGACAAGGCTACTAGTTTTGCGAAGTTCAATATCAAATTCGGCTCTCAGTGTGCCGAATGTAGTAACCTAGTAACATATCACTTCGCCAAGAAGGCTGATGAGATAACCTCTACCAATAAGGATTTGAAAATCCGTCTCGACCAAGACTTGGATTGATAATCAGTCGGCCTCGTCGCAATGCTGTTTATCCAAATTGAAGGTGCTTCGCGGTCAGTTGATTCTACGGCAACAGTGCTATTTATCCAAACTGAAAATGTTCGTCAGTTGCCTTCACAGTGCTGTTTATCCAAACTGAAGATGGGATAGCGGAAAAGAAAATAAAAATCTCAAGGTGTTTGAGAGGTTTCGCGTAGAGCGAGAGTTTGCGTAAGGCAGTTTGTGTGTTGAATTGGAGAGGCTTATCGTTGCCACTGCCTTTGTATTTATAAGGACGTGCTGACTTGATTCGATCAGTATTGCATTTGATCTGTAACGCGGTTTGGCGTGGATCAGAACCAACTAAATGCATGGTGTTATCATGCAATTGTCCAACCAATTTAAAATCTCTGTCATTATCTCTTTTTAATTGACCACATATGACCAAACAATGATGGCTTTATGTGATCCACGGTCAAGAGATCACCACGTCACTATCCTTATGCTAATTGACTCTTCCCAATGTGTCCATAGGCTGAAGCCTACTCATTTGTTCAGATGTCATCCTAATCACATTACCATCTCATAATTTCACCTTTATCCCATGCATGAATTAATTGCACGATATTAATCTAGTAGTAACTGTATTGCTGTGTGAATCTGTCAACACCAATATGCCGAATATCCCTAATTAATTTTGAATTGTAGATTAGAGATATTATTTGCACCATGTTTATCTTGTACAAGATAAATAATTATTAGGCCAAATTGGATTATTCATCCGTGTGGTCATAGGAAACTTGCATGATGACCCCCGTGGTGAAAAAACTAGGAATTAAACCCCTGTGGTCAAGAATGGTAGCAAATTTAGTCTAAAAGTAAGATTTTTGTTAAATGACTGTTAAAAGTATAGGTAAAACTATATTTTCAGTTCCAATTGACATTTAAAATAAATAATTTTTTTATAACAATTAACAAAAAAAATAATGCTTAATTTTTTAAATAAAAAAAAGTGCCAATTCAATGTCAATTGGAACTGAAAATACAGTTTTACCCCAACTTTTAACAGTCATTTAACAGAAATCTTACTTTTGGACTAAATTAGCTAACATTCTAGACCATAGGGATTTAATTCCTAGTTTTTTCACCACGGGGGTCATCATGCAAGTGTCTTATGACCACATGGATGAACAATCCAATTTAGCCTAATTATTATGATAAAACAAATCATAATAAAATTATCTTCATTTTTTATCCGACGGTGTGGAGCTATGCTTAATCAACGACCTTGATTGCATAGGTTGATGGTGCAATTTTGGGTCCAAACAGTAACATATCGGTTATTTTAGTGGGTCATATCGTGTCATGTCAAAACCAATTATTATAACGAGTTTTTAATAAGTACCTAATAATAACCTGATTTGTTAATGGGTTATATCTTTTGATATTAAATTAACAGGTCATGCAAGAAGTTGCGATGCTTAATATCTAGATTTGACAAACGATATCTTACTAGGTTCTTAACATGTGATTTAATAACGACCCATCACGTTAATAGATTACTTAATAACAACCCGATATATTATTCAAAACTC